TGTGACCTCCCGTAGAGCTGCGACCTCCTTAGGGCTGCCAGAGGCACCGCCGCAAAGCGCGCCGCAAAGCTCTCTTCACACCTAATTCAGGTAAAAAAAGACCAGTTACCTCCTAGATATTTTTTCTTAGGGTCTTAAATGTTGTATGTGGCCATTCGTGACTTTAAAAGCTCTTCAGAAAATCAGAGCGGAGCACGTGCTTGAAAACCCTCCACTAATAATAAACGGTACAGTTCTCTTGTAGACGTAACCACCAGGTAGATTATAAACAATGAGCAGCATTGCCAAAAGCGTTTTGCGGTCGGTGAAGCACGGCCGAGCTGCGTGGCCGAGGACCGGCTCTGCCCACTCTGGGAAGCGGCGTTTTCACAGGCTGGTTTTGGGAATAGAGACGAGCTGTGATGACACCGGCGCTGCTGTGGTGGATGAAGCTGGCTGTGTTCTGGGAGAAGCACTGCACTGTCAGAAGGAAGTTCATTTACAGTAAGAACAGACTTCTCTCAAGGCTTCTGCCTTAAGAACGATTTTATTGTTATTGTTACTTATAATATCCATATGAAAGTCTTCTCTGCCCCATAAAACTCAATAAGTGGTGGGTAGATATGAAGATGTATTACTTTGGCCTCAACACATACTGCCCGAGATAGTACTAAGGGGGAGGAAATAAATGCCATGAATTTAACAAGTTTCCTCCAGTGTTTTCTTTCAAAGAGAGACAGATTACTTGCCTAGCTTGAATAAAAGATGGAAACATTGCTACTGTTAAAATCAGCAATTTTAATTTTCCCTTTTTAAAGGAAAAATTAGTCAAATATAAGCATTGGTCGTTAAGAACATGAACTGACAAGTGAGGGGTTGTGAATATTAAGTTACATTGTTTTGGAACAGTGTTGAGATACATTTAAAAAGCATCTGTCCCAAAAAAGGGCAAGTTACATCCTTTTCTGGCCTTCCACTGATTATTATGCTCCCTTCAGTGCCCTTGACACTAAACAAGGCATTTGAGAGTGCATTAAGGAAACAGGCAGGATACGACAAGGTTAAGAGGTGCCCGAAAACTATTTTTATGGCATTCTATCTGTTATAAACCACCAATGCAATGCAATTCCTTGGTTTTACTAGATCGGGAGGAATAATTCCCGTGGTGGCACAGCAGCTTCACAGAGAAAACATCGACCGAGTGGTTCAAGAGGCCCTCAGTGCCAGCGGCGTTTCTGTGGCCGAGCTCGCGGCTGTGGCCACCACAGTGAAACCCGGGCTGGCTCTGAGCCTGGGCGTGGGGCTGCACTACAGCCGGGGCCTGGTCAGCAGGCACCAGACACCCTTCATCCCCATCCATCACATGGAGGCTCACGCACTCACCATCAGGCTCACACATCCCCTGGAATTTCCCTTCTTAGTTCTCCTCATCTCTGGAGGCCACTGTCTCTTGGCAGTAGCACAGGGAGTTTCAGATTTCCTCCTGCTTGGACAGTCCATCGACATCGCACCGGGTGACATGTTGGATAAGGTAATATCCCCTTTCCTTACCTGTTCTCTTCTTTTCATTGCATTTATACTACATAATAGTAGTAATATCATCAGCCTGAGGACAGCAATTCAATGCAGTACAAGTTTTATGTAACTTTTTGTCTATTCTGAAATGACATATACGTAAGATATGAAAGGCCATTAAAAATGTACACAAAACATCAACTCTAACATATGTACATTAATTATATTTTAGCCAATTGGCAACATAACCAAAACTGGTGTTGGATGTTACATTGACACTGATTATACAAAGAAGTTGGTATTAATTAGAGAAGTTTATAGAAGTTTTATGGAAGTATTATTATGCTATAGATGTTAAAGCTAAATGTTATGCTAAATAGATGTTAAAGCATTTCTCTATTTTTAGTTTTTAGAGTTTGAAAAGCATGGTTTGGCCATCACAATCTTAAGTTTTCTGGGTCCCTTAGTACAGTCTGTAAAATTGATCACTTATGATTTTGTTCTCAGCACTGTTTTTAAACAGTACTTGTGCATATTAATTAAAAAATTGGGGGAGTGCATGGAATCATAAAGAGGATTTTCAGAAGTTGAAACCAGCTTTGTTCCTGTGTATCCGGTAATACAGTATGGCAGACCGTGTGTTTCCTATAGCTTAAAAATGGAGTAATTAATATTTTCTGAAAAATTTGTTGATCCTCATGTTTGCCAAGATTGATCTAGAATTTCATTTCTACATACTCCACGAAAAAAAATATCCTGCTGGGCTGATGTTGTGTCTTACCCTTAGCATGCCCTGTTTGTAATTTCACAGTGGATTGGATGTTTTGATGTCACATTTTACCCCAAGGACTGCAGTACGGTGATGCCATTGGAGGAGGAACTGATTCCAAGTCTGTTGTTTGTCATCTCTCAGGTGGCACGAAGGCTGTCTCTAAGAAAGCACCCAGAGTGCCACAGCATGGCTGGGGGGCAGGCCATAGAGCACTTGGCTCAGAGCGGGAACCAGGAGCGGCTCACCTTCCGGCTGCCCATGCGGCAGTACCGCAACTGCGACTTCTCCTTCTCCGGACTGCAAAACATTGTCAATAACGCCATTGTGCAGAAAGAAAAAGAAGAAGGTATTTTTAGGCAGTCAAGCTGAGCTTTTGATGACCTGCACTCAGGAGCCCCCTTTGATGATATACTTTTATAGGTATTCAGGAAGGTGAGATCCTGTCCTGTGTTAAGGATGTTGCTGCTGCTGTACAGCACGCAGTGGCTGTTCATATTATCCAGAGGACATATCGAGCCATGCTCTTCTGCATCAAAAACAGCATATTGCCATCAAAAAATGCCACTTTGGTGGGTATTCCTTTTTTTTCCTTTGTATAGCTGACTCTATAACATCATTTGAAGATGCAGATGCCTTGTTGTACTTTCTACCTTTGACATATGAGAAGGATCTCAGTATGTATTATATTGTTAAAATACCAACAATATTGAAGTAATGGTCATATAAATATTTAGGTGGGTTTTAAGCTAGAGATTGTCTTACCATTTAATCTGACATCCCATAACAATTTGCCCTCGTGCTGCCCAATACTTGATGGCTGTTTTAGTTACAGTAGAACCATAACTTGGAAAGGATCTTAAAAATCATCCAGTTCTAACCCTCCTGCCATGGGCAAGAACACCTTCCATTAGACTGACCTGCTTCAGGAATGTCTTTTTGCATAATAAGCAAACTTAGCATACTCTTTTCTGGTATGTTTTAATCTTAAATGCAGCATTATTATTATTATTCTTTAGAACTTCAACTGATAACCCTTTTCTAAACATGATGCTGGTTGTGTGTGACCCGTAAGTACTTTGGAGTTAATGCCTTTTTTTCTTTCTGAAATGCTGTCAGGTTGTATCAGGAGGAGTTGCAAGTAATCAGTATATCCGAAAAGTTCTACAGAATCTGGCAGATGCAAATGATTTTGCTTTGCTGTGTCCTCCTCCAAGACTCTGCACTGATAATGGTGTTATGATTGCATGGTAAGAGTTGTTTCTCTTTAACACACATTACAGGAGCACATGCAAAGTTGACATTGAGAGTCAAGAAGCTTTTTTTGTGCTGGTTGAACCACGTGCTCCTATGCAGAGTTGTGATGTACATTTTTCTGTCATTGCTTTGTTGCTCAGGAATGGCATTGAAAGGCTCCGTGCAGGGCTGGGGGTCCTTCACAGCATTGCTGGCGTCCGCTACGAGCCAAGGTAGGGGACTGACTGCTCATTGCCAGGCTCTGTCCTCACTGTGGGCTGGCAAAGGGGAACAGGTCACATGAAAAACAGGCACAAGCTGCTGAGGAGTCTCCCTGCAGCACAAAGAAATTTTAAAAGTTTAGGCAGTTTTAAATACAAATGATCATGGCTGGTATTTATGTTTATTTTGGCTCAGAAATTTAATTTATCACACATCATAACAGTTCTATGTATTTTCCTACTATGATTGTGTATAGATGTTAGGCTTAAGGCCAAACAAAATGCAGATATTTCAAAAGTACCAGCTGGTCTTAAACTTTGGAATTTTTTTAGGTTTTTTTTTCCCTTTCCATTTTCAGAAAAAGAGATTTGTATGGTCTCAATAAAAAAAAGTATTACAGTTTTCGGATGAAAAATTATAAAATACTCTACTTCAAAAATAATCTGCTGTATATATTTCAGTGAATAAAAAACTAAGTTTACTTGCTGTAGACAATGAATTATTTAAGGTTATCTTAGTAGTTACCTGTGAATCTCTAGTGTTTTACATTCATCAGCAGGACATAAATCGAATTATCAACTAAAATCAGAATCTAAATAGAACAACAGGCCCAGAAGATGGCTTTGAAAATCTCAGCTGTGTTTCTAGAGTTTGGAATGGCTACACAAATATTTCCTCATTGTAAAGATATTTCCAGGTGCAGCTTGAGATGGACTGTTTTAATGGTCACAGTCTTAGAAATGCAGGAACTGTACTGAAATACTTGGACTCTCATGCTAATTGTAAAAAAGGTCTGTGAAGCTGTACATCCGTGTGATATGGCAATTACCATGTTAATTTTAAACAAATACATAATTTTGTTTTCCAGAGCTCCCCTGGGAATTGATATTTCAAAAAGAGTTGAAGAAGATTCCATCAAGGTCCCAAAATTAAAAGAGATACGATGGTTGGCATCTTAAAAAGTAACTTAATAAAATAAATAGTTCAATGAAAACTGTGTCAATGCTGTTATGGGTAGGGACAATACCTGGATTACGAGTGTTGAAATCAGCTGTCAGAGAAACAAATGCTGTGTTGCAATCACCAAAGTAATCCCAGTTACTATAAACTAAGCATTCAGTATTAAAACAAAAAAAAGCACAGGATGCATTCATAGTGAGTTTCTTGTACACACACACATGTACAACTCTGATTATTAATAATTATGCCCAAGTCTGTAAAAAAAGCCCAGACCAAACACTGTAAGAAAACTCGATTTACTGACTTTGTGTGCAGAAAAAATGCAACATCTCCAGATACAGCTCTATAATTCATCTACTGAAGGTAACTTCAGCCTGCTGCACGTGTCAGATGCTTTTTCACTGTTGCTCTCCAGTTTTGCAATCCGAGATCCAAACTGTACTGCCCTTTTTGGCAAAACAGCTGAGGCTGTCAGGCCCAGCTCCTTGGCTGCAAGGCGCAGAATCAGCTTCTCGCCAATTCCTCGAGGTAAAGTCAAATCAGCTTTTTCTGAGACGGGCAGAGAACTGAGGAATGAGACAACATCTTCATCAAGAAAAGGAAACCTGAAAGAGAGATTTACATGGGTACAAACCCTTTAAAAATTCTACAGGAATAATCTTGGTTTTCCCCTTTACCACATGCAAAGACTGAGTGAAACTACACTGTAACTGTGAAACAAAAAGATTTACACAACAAATGCTGGTATCATTCTGAATTTCAGGCTTTCACACCTAATCATGTGCATGCTTAAGAGCACTGCACACTGGTCTTGTGCTGAACTGAAAATGTGCAACTAAGATTTGGAAAAATACTGGCACAAAGATCACATGAGAAAACCTTTCATGCACCTGAGTGCCCTCTGCTCCTGGACTAGACCTAAGGAATTTTTTTCAAGTTCATGGTAGCATGGAGAAGTAGGCACAAATAAAATGATTCTTCAACTCTTTGGACCCAACAGCCAGGAAATGTGGTGGATATTGACTGTGCTTTACTGCAGGGATAGGCATACACAGCTCCTGTCTTTCTCCAGAGACACTCCCCAAAGGTCCACACCAGAACACTTCAAAGTTGTGCAAAGTCTGTTGAGCTTAAAATGATAAAACCAGCTAGAATTTGCCTATTTCAACATCTGTTGTTTCTTCTTAAAACTTCTAGATGGAAATCAAGTTGCTAAATTTCCTTAAGTAAACTCTTCCACAATGTACTACAGACCACTTTTTTAAAAAACAAAACCAAAAACTGCACAACACAGTACACATTAACAAAACTGCAGCCGAAGTAGAGACAATAAAACACACAGAAGTTTCAATTAAGATCTTGTTAGGGGTGTGAAAAACTGCATCTAACCAGCAAAATGAGTTTTGCTCTGTGTTAAAACAGTAATACCTGGCTTCTTTTCCATGATCACCGATGATCCTGTCATCTCTGCCCAGATTTCGAAAAGAAATGCGCCCTAACTCCATTTCAAGTTCTTTATTAAGACCCTCTAAGCCATCTTTGGTGAAGCAAACACGATGTCGAGAGTACCCAGCAAGCTGCTCATCTGCTCCAATTCCTGTAAGCACAACCTGAGGAAACAGAATAGAAGAAATCTTAGTACCAATGCAAGTTAATTTGTAACAGACTTTAAAGGTTTAACTACATTTTAAGGAGAAATTTAATACATGTCTTTTAAAAGTATTACTTATCAGAATGGGCTGTGCCTTACACATATACAAAGCCTAAAACAATTCCCAGTACAGTCATTGGTAACTTAAATTATCAGACCTTAAAGTACACACAAATATTGCTAGTGGAGCAAGGAAAAAAACATCAAAATAATGCCATACATATTACAAATACACCAGTATATTTGAAGAATGTCTTTGTTAGTTTCTATGATAATAAACAGCATTTGTTAAACACCAACCTTTAAAAATTATTGCCAAAGTCAATATGTCATATGTTGTAGTTACCTGAATGTACACCCAGAGTACTATTCATTTACCAGCTACATTACACAAAGTAAAAATGAGTTACACTATTCAGTAAGTACAGTAAAATGTTTTATCAAGAGAAAAAACACTATTGCATCTGGCCCATTACTGTGCCTTCAACAGCTGAAATTAAACAGTTCCTTCAGGAACAGAGAAGTGAGAAATCAGAAATAAAAATTATAGATGGTGGTTATTTGTTTCCATTGGATATTGTTGCATATCCAAGCTCACTGAAAAGCCATGCACATTACATGACAAGAGAACTGATTGTGATTTTTAATTCTAGAATTACACAAATATTATAATTATAGAATATTCTACATTCTGACATAATTTCAGAAGCCTCATGAATAGCAAAAATCCCAGCTGATTTCTAAAACAAGAAAACTGCTTTTACATTCAGAAGTCAACACTAGGCAGAAAATAAAACAAAACAATACCTTTGCAGGACTTTTATATGGTTTTAGTTCTCCTTGGTTACTAATGAAGCCCTCTCCTCTGGAAGCAAACCAAATTGCACAGCCAATACTGTCATCCAAGACTGTATCCAGTGGATAGATTAAGTAATTAATACGCTCTTTTCTCATTTTTTTCAATTCCTCTAACGTAACATTAATTTCCACAAAGTTCCAGGTTCTTGAAGGGTTAATGGCTTCTAATTCCTTCAGTCCTGCCCTACCAGTGATTCTGTCAGGAACATCAAAGCAGGATGAATGAGTACCAGTGTCAGCAGCAGCATCTTGAGAGCTTTCTTGAGTACAAAGCAAATGAAGCTGTACTTCATGGCCAGTTTGTCTTTTAGTGGTTCCCCTGTGCTTAGCTTGCTCTTTCATCATGAAAGCTACATTAAGAAGATCAATTGGCTCTTCCAAAGGCACATGTTTATCAGCCAGGGCTGCAAGAACCATAGAGTCAATGCCACCAGAAAAGAGCACTGCAATATGTGCTCTCTTATGAGACATGCTTGGAACTTCTCTTGTTATCTGATCTGGATCTCTACAGAGACACAGGACTCGTCTCTTGACTGCTTCATTTAAAACATCAATAAACTGACAGGCTAAGTTTTTCTTGTGTTCCTCTGCAAGAAATTCTTGAAGGGTTTCTACAGAAACCACACCGTTAATATTGCTAAAATTAGAGCTTGGACATGCACCTGAAGCTTTAGAAACTGTTTTATTTAAAGGGATGACTGGTGCTCTAAGACACAGCTTTGATTCGTTCAGCACGAGATGTACATGGTTTGGTAAGTCTTTTGACACTTGGTCAAGAACATTAATGCATGTTTCTTCTACTGCTTTCTCTCTGCAGCTGTACTTCCATGGAAACCATGTTAAAGACAGAGATTTAGTTGCTGCACAAGCTTTGAGATCAATTTTGAAAATTCCAGATGCCGGGACTTCTTGCCATTGGCTGCCTGATTCAGAACAACCACTTACAGATGAGAGACAGAAAGCTCTGTCAACCTCATTACTGAACTGCCAAAGCAAACTACGACGGCCAAAGTAATCCCTGCCAAACCATAAACTGTGGCTGCCTGCTTCATAATAAATAAAAGCCCAGGGACCCTGAAGTGATGAGAAGAGTGACAGAATGTCCATTTCACTGCTGCATGAAGCCAGATGATGAAACACTACTTCAGTGTCATTCTCTAGATTTCCTACATGCACTCCACTGAAAATTTCTCCATTCCAAAGAAAAACATTGTTACTGGCATCTTCCAGAGGCTGAGGAGTCACCAGTCCCCTCATGTGAAGTACATGGCCTGAAAACAGACATTGATAAGAGAGATCAGACACAGTTTTTATCAACTCTTGGCTACTGTCTGGGCCTCTTCTTCTTAGATGGCAGAGGATGTCTTCACTGAGGAAATCATGGATCGCACGCTGGCTGCACAAGGTAACAACACAGCAAATGCCACACATTGCAACGAGGAATTCACATCAACTACTTCTTGATTTTAGCCTTTTCTGAATTTTCCAGCTCCTGATGTGCCTTCTTTAATTCATCTAATGTGTCTGTGTAAGAGAAAATTACACAAATAATCAGTTTCACAAAAAGGAAAGTTTGCATAAGTAAATTTCAGTGTATATCCACAACATTAATAATTCCAGCCACTTGTTCAGTTAAAGTGATAAACATAAAACACTACTTAAGCAAAGTGCTATGTTTGTGTCATTACTAACACAAGCTATATAAGCTTGCTGTGGCATATTCCTTTTTGATTTTACAAAGATGATGATTTTTTGCAATAGAATGGCCAACTCTTATATAATCAGTATGACTTCAACATGTGTAGTAGGAAAAGGGAACTGATGATAAAAATGGCAATGCTATTAACCCAAATCAAAGCAAATAGAAGCAGCAATTGTTCACTCCAGAAAATTAAATTTTTACTTCTAAATTTATACTCTTCTAATGCTTGTTCCATCATCACCTCTATTATGCATTCTCCTATTACTTTGTATTTGACACTCGGCTGTAATTTTCTCATTTTAACATACCTTTGAAATAGCTACAAATACAGATGTTAAACACTAACTGTTTGAGATACTTTTACACTGCAAACTTACTTTTGGACTGAGACAGCATTTCTGTCCGGTCTGCAAGGAAGAATATGTTGCTGTTGGGTTGCTGCTTATAAACTTTCTGTAAAACAAAACCCACACTGTATTAAGTCAAAGCAGCAGATTCTGGACCCACACTGCAGCAGAGGCTGGTGTGGGTCCAAAGAGACACTCCTGGTACAAAAGTGAAGGGGTAAGTTCTGCCATGTGAACCAGCATTCTAATGCTGTACCATCAAAAGCATTTAATGCTCAACCTAAGACAAGTCTGAATTTCTCTTTTCCTCATCCACAAGGGATCACATTCTATTTTAAACAAATGCACAGAAAAAGTAAGAATACTTCATGAATCCAAACATCTTAATGAAATAACTCAAATAAAACGTAAAAAAGCAAAAAACCCCAACACTGCCCAAGTATACATAATCAAATAATTTGCAGGACAAATTATTC